GTGGACCCATCCCTACTTTCAAACTATTGCTCCATCTCCAACCTTCCTTTCCAAGGTTGTGGAACAGGTCATTGCTTCCCAGCTTCGCTCTTTCCTCTCCCACCTCTCACTTCATGAACCCCTCTAATCAAGCCACCCACAGCACAGAAACAGCTTTGGTAAAAGTGACAAATTACATTTTGTCCATCTGCAACCAAGACTCCCTCTTCCTCCTTGCCCCCTTGACCTCTCTGCTGCCTTCGATACTGTTGACCACTCTATCCTCCTCCACGCCTCTCCTCTCACCTCAACCTTCATGGTTCTGTCCTTGAATGGTTCAGATCCTACCTCTCACACCATCTCCACTTCATCTCCACAAACAGTTTTTTCTCTAGCCCCCGCACCATCTCGTACAGCATTCCTCAGGGCTCTGTCCTTGGTCCCCTCCTCTTCAATATCGACATCCTCCAACTTGGTGATATCATCCGCAGACATGGGATCAACTTACACATATATGCGGATGAAACCCAACTCTATTTTTTTGCCTCCACCCTCAACTCCAGGACCACTGCTGTCCTGACAGAATGTTTGGCAGACATCAAGGCCTGGATGAGAGCTAATTTTCTACAGTTGAACATCAACAAGACTGAGGCTCTCCTGAATGGCTCCCATCAGCGTCTCCACAACTCAGGTGCTGAAAGCTTCACCATCCATGGATGCGCACTCCATCTTACTAAGCCAGTCCGGAACCATGGTGTCTTGTTTGACCCTCAACCATCTTTTCTACCTCACATTCATGCCATAACCCGCTCTGCCTTCCCCCACCTCCGCAACATCATCCGGCTCTGCCACGGTCTCACACCGCAGGCCGCCGAAACCCTCATACATGCATTCATAACATGAAAACTCCCTGCTTGTCGGCCTCCCCAACTCCTCCCTGCACAGGCTGCAGATCACCCAGATGTCTGCAGCCCATGTTCTCTCCTGCACCAGGTTCTGTGACTCTATCAGCCTCATCCTCGCCCGATTCCACTGACTTCCCATTATACAGAGGATATAGTTCAAGCTCCTGGTCCTCACCTTCAAAGTCCTCCATGGCCTTGCTCCCCACTACCTCTGTGACCTCCTAACCCCCTACCAACCTGCCCGCTCCCTCCAATCAGCGGGCTCCGGCCTGTTTCATGCCCCCTGCCTCGCCACCCCACTATTGGCAGGTGGGGTTTTAGCCACTCTGCTGCCACCCTCTGGAACTCCATCCCGCAGTCCCTCCGCCTCAACCCCTCCCTTGCCTCCTTCAAGACCCGTTTCAAGACCCTCCTCTTCAACCATGCCTTCAATTACCCTTCTTTTGCCCCACTCTCCACATCCACCCAACGTGAAAGGCGCTATACAAATGTAATTTTGTGATTGTTGAGGTACCGGGAGGCAGTTTGGCATACAAAGTGGTATGCTCGTGTGGAACAATGTTTGGAAGAGTAGTCCTACAGTAAGGGTCATAACTGACTTAAAACAATAAGGCAACCAGTTTCTCCAGTTATGACATTTACTGTGTAAATAACTGGCTGAGAGTTTTAAGGTAAACATGATGAAGGTAAAGCTAAACCTCTACCTCAGAGGATCTTATGGCTCACTGGTGACTCCATTAATTTGACTAATTCTATTGCTATTGAGTATCCATGACAGCACTGAAACATTGTGTGTAATGCATATTTTGTAGCAAATCACTTGTTTACTATAGGCGTGGAAAATGTTAATTAAAAGCTTAAATACTGAAATTCCCTTAACCACAACTGTGTAAACAAAACCTGGCTACTGGACAGGAGTCAATACTTTGACCGTAAATCCTTCACACAAGAGGTGATTACTTGTCAGTAAATTTGCAGATATTGGTAGAATAAACTCACAAAGGATTTCTCCCTTAAATGTACAGACTGGAAGAGAGTAAAATACAATATCTTGAATTTATACAGTACCCTTCATGCAGATAACTTTACAAGGCAGTGTCAGATGCTGAGCAAGGGAGAAGGGAGCATAAGCACATTCAAAGAAGTATAGTTCAAGGATAGATGGGGGGGCAGGAATATGGGGGAGTGCAAGACGGAGGGATTTAAGAAAGTTTCCAGGTAAAATTAGACCTTGAAATCATGTTATTCATGTGATCCAGTAAATCACTTATGACTGTAATTGTATATCCAATTGTTCATGGGTTACGGAGTTTCCTGTGCTCTATTAAGTGACTCAGATATAATAACTGATGGGAATCAAAGTGTCTATTATGGTTTTCCATGATTGTAATTGTAAATGACTAGTGCAAAATCCCTGACCCAAGCAATAGAAAGTCAAAAGGTACTCTGGTACAGCAATACAAGAAGGTGGAGGATTAGGCTAGTAGACAATGATTTTTTGAAGACGTTAAATCTATAAACAAGCATTACATGAGTACATTAGCTGATCTTTATAGTCAATGAATACTTGTGCTTCTTCCACTGTTCTTAAAGTGAACCTGCACGATCATTGCATATAAATTATTATTCTAATAGAATATCGAATAATAATCCCTTCAAATATTAATAATAATTTGATTACTCAATCCACAATTGTTTGTGGGACACTCCTGTGAATTAGATGCTTGAAAAATAATAATTATCCTTACATTTGATGTCAATGTGATAGTGTAGTAAATTATTACTGTTGTTACGTCCTGAAGTCTTGCTGGTGTAGCTGATAGTCAACGTATACTTATGTAAGAATGTAGTAGAATATAAGCTCCCAATCATGACCTGTTTGTTAGGAAGCCACTTACCAGAAGCTAAAGAGAAGTGCAGAAATAAAGAGGCAAGATATCTCAGACTCCTCTCATACAATTCCTTTACACTGGTTAGGTAGACAAAGAACTGGAGGTCTACTAGTTTCAACCACACATGCTCACCTTAAACTAGCTGAGAAAAGCAGCTTAAATATTGAAACTCCCTTCACCACAACTGTGTAAACAAAACCTAGCTACTGAACAGGAGACAATATTTCGACCGTAAATCCTTTACGACTACGGAGGGAAAAATTGAAAATACGAGAACCCCTCCTCAGAAGTTTCCTCAGAAACCAATCCTAGCTTTGCTCCCCATTGCTACTCCCCATTGCTGCAGTTAGATATTCCCCATTGCACAGAGTTAGATATTCTCAAGTGACTGCTGCATCACAGCAGCAACAGTGCCATCCATTGACGACCTGAGAAAATACACAGGAGGATCAGGCAATAACAGGAATTTATCAAGATATAAGCAAATTGTACAAAGTATTATTGAATGTTACTGTGTTCTAAAATAAAAAAACAATCATTCAAATAAGGGACAGAATTGCATCTCAAAGCATGAAGTACAATTAACATTCTACCTAGGAGAGGAATTCAAATGCACAGAAACTAAACATGATCTGGATTTTGCCTTTCCAGCAGTAGGAAGAGACTATAAATTAAACAAGCTTTTCCTTTTCCTAAGAGAAGTACTTTTAAATCAAGTCTAACTGAAGATTTGAGATTCTAACCTTACTTAGTATTTGGAAAAGATTTTTAAAAACTGTAAAATCTAATAACATTTCAGAATAATAACAATAGACTAGCACTCAAGTCTGTTTAGTTGGATTCACATTAATCCTTTAGGCCATCCAGAAATGGAAATAAATTCATCTAAATAATCTTTTACTCCTTTGTGGGTTTTGCTTCCAGTCAAATTCTTGAGACAAATAAAAAAGGATAAAAGCATCATACTCATAATTCAAAGCATGACAGTAAGAATCACTATCTGCCATCCTTCTCAACAAAAGATAGCAAAATCAATTATTGAGTAGATAACTATAAAGGAATCCAAATCACCTTTCCTTTTTGAATGCTTGAATGTTTTATAAATCAGTATATTTAGATTCAAGGGGGACAGGTTGCAAAACAGGATTACACCAGGTTATTTTTCCTCTTTTTTGTAGCCATTCAGATGCATGGGTTGAATGAGTTTTCTCTCTACTAAGCTGTAAACATCCTCAATACATTAGACTGGGCAGACTTAATACAACTCTTAGTGGGCAATAGGTCACAATGCTGCCCCCACTGTGGTTGGGATCTATAAAATTCCAGTCTGTGCTATAACGGGGTGTGATGGCTGGTTACACTGCGCTTGTGGGCAGCTGACCGGCTTGCTCCCTGCTCATCAGCTCGTTCCTGCGCTAACAGAAAACTGTCTGACTCCCTGTTGGCCAAGTCCTTGCCGATGTCACTTCTGTTTGCTGTGCTCACACTAATGACCCAGAATTCGGCCACAATTCGTTGTGCAAGAGAATCAAGCAGACCAGATGAGCATGTGTATATAGAATGGGATTCACATATTATTGACATTATAACTTAATTCACACTATATAGAAGTGCGTTATTAATGAGGCCACATAGAATTAGCTTATTCTGAAAAGCAGTAAGAGCAAATGCAAAAGATCACTCACAACAGGGGCAGCAGTAATGAATTAAATCATATTGCAGCATGTGAATGGAATACGTAGTACTAGTTGCTAGCTTAGCTGCTGATAATTGGTGGAGGGTCCAAAAGGATTCATGCCTCAACTGACTTGGATGGGGATACAGACCTTAGTAATGTGCTTTCAACTAAAGGTTGAGGGTCATATTGAGGACTTACTGATCTCCATTTAAATAGCAGTGGTATGTGATCCGCATGGAGACATTCACCACACAGATATACTATGCCATCTCCCACATGACTGATGTAATGCTTATTTTATTTCCAAGGGTATTTTTGGCAATCTAAAATAACACAATAAAGAAAACCATAGGCAAAAAAAATTATGTTACTTGGTCATCTGTACAATATAGTATAATAGATTAATTAATAAAAATACTGTAATTGATCAATAAAGTAGGCTTAGTCCATGACACTTTTGGAATTCAAACTTAGCTCTACCAACACAAGACAGGACAGACTTTATCCAGGTTAAACAACTCTAAGGAGTTTTGATATATTACTCACAAAAAAAGATTCTCCATAACATAGTGATAGTTGTCTCCAGTACTCTCTGGTAGGAAACACGCAGCAAACACAATAATGGCATTGAGTCCGTCACTATAGTATCCTGAGAAAACAAGAAGTGTTTGTCTAGTATTGCCTACTGATAGCAAAACAACAACAACAACATTACATTTGAAAATTGCCTTTCACGTTGGGAGGACGTCCCAAGGCGCTGGACAGAAAGAATTACTGAGTGGGGGGAAGCAGGGAGATCGAAGCACAGTCGAAGATGAGTCTATCCCATTTCAAAATAACCCAGAGGTTTTTTGCATTAGGAAACAGGAAATCTGGTAAATGTAAAACCAGTTCAGGATACTTCCTTTCTCATTAATTCAGAAGAGCACTAAATGCCAATCTGTCACTATTATAATCCTATAATCCTTACTTTTGGTATAACACCTCTCATGTTGGGAGGATGTCTCACAGTGCTTCACAGGATTATATTGTAAATGTAATGACTATATTTTATAGTTGAACTGAATTATATATTGCAGATACATTTTATTAACCAAACTTCTAAACATACATTGCATACGTTTCATATGTTGTTATTTCATTCTAGGCCATAGTAAAAAATATGTAAAGAAAATCTTGATTTGCATTGCAAAGTTTGCTGAATGGATCTGACACAGAATTGTAATTAAAGTAAACAGATCAGTCTGCAGACTGATGATTCTTTTTATAAAAAAGCAGTTGTAATTAAAACAAATGTTGGGTTTTGTCTTCCCCACGTCTGGTCAGGATGGACCTGGATTAAAGAATCAAGCACAGAAGAAGGCCATTCGGCCCATCGTGTCTGTGCCTGCTCTTTGAAAACAGCTATCCAAATCACCCCACTCCCCCGCTCTCTCCTCATAGCCCTGCAAACTTGTCCTCCCCAAATAATTATCTACTTCTCTCTTAAAAGTTGTTAATAAATTGGCTTCCACCATCTTTTCAGACAATGCATTCCAGATCCGAACAACTCCTCTGCAAAAAAATTCACTGGAGGCAGTGCAGAGGACAGCAAAAGATAATCTTCAGTGCTGAAGGAATGAACTATGAGCATCAATTAGACAAGATAGGGCTCTTCAGTGTTGAAAAAAGATGTCTCAGAGGAGACCTTATAGAGGTACCCAACGTTTTAATTGGGATTGAGAAAGTAAACTCAGAACAATACCTGTGGATGCGCGAAAAAGAGGACACAGATTTAGAACCACAAAGAGCAATTTCAGGATATACCAAAGTGAGTTGCAATGGATACCTTCAAATGTTTCTCTTTTGGCTAATAGGAGTGGTAGAAAGGGAAATTTATTTCACAGTAATAAAGGTTATCCTTGCCGTTGATATATGGCCCTTCATGTCATGTCACAAAGTGCTTCACTGTAAAAGTGGATTGATGTGCATTTACCTTCCAACAAAATACTCTGGACAATTGGGTTAATTCATTTGTAAATTTCATTTCAGAGATTCAACTATGGGTCTAGTAGTCCTCCAGTCCAGTTTCCATCCTGCCCACAGTACAGAGACTGCGCTTGTAAAAGTCACAAACAACATCCTCTCTATCTGTGACCAGGGATCCCTCTGCCTCCTTGTCCTCCTGGACCTCTCCGCCGCGTTCGATACAGTCGATCACACCATCCTCCTCCACAGCCTTTCCTCCGTCATCCACCTCAGTGGGACTGCACTTGCCTGGTTCGAGTCCTACCTCACAAACCTCCAGCAGCACATCTGCACAAACGGCTTCTCCTCCCGCTCTCACCCGGTTACCTGTGGGGTACCCCAGGGATCCATCCTTGGCCCTCTCCTCTTTCTGATCTACATGCTCTCTCTTGGGGATTCATCCGCAGACATGGGGTACACTTCCACATGTATGCAGACGACACCCAACTCTATTTTTCCACCTTCACTTTGTGACCCTCGGTCCCCTGATGTTCTGTCAGGCTGCCTGTCAGACCTCAGGAGCTGGATGAGCGCAAATTTACTTCAGCTGAACTTTGACAAGACGGAAGCCATACTCTTTGGCTCTCGTCAACATCTAAAATCTCACAGTTCTCACCTCCTCCACCTACCCGACCTCCCCCTAAAACTCTCCGAACCCATACACAACCTAGGCGTCAGGTTCAACCCCCAATTATCCTTCCTCCCCCACATCCGGTCCCTCACCAGCACTGCCTTCTCCCACCTCTGATGCATCACCCATCTCCGCCAATACCTCTCTCCGAAAGCCGCTGAAACCCTGGTCCATGACTTTGTCAACTCTCGGCTGGACTATTCAAACACCCTCCTCATCGGCCTCCCATCCACTACCATCCATAAAATCCAGATTATTCAAAACTCTGCCGCCCGCATTCTCACCTGCACCAAACTCCGCTCCCCGATCACCCCAGTCCTTGCCAGACTGCATTGGCTGCCTGTCCCAGAAAGGATTGACTTCAAGATCCTCACCCTTGTATTCAAATCCCTCCACTCCTCTGAACCCTCCTACCTCTCTGACCTCCTCTCATCAAAACAGTGCCCATTGCCTTCGTTCCTCCGGATCTGGCCTCCTCCTTGTCCCCCGAGTCCTCTGCTCCACCCTCGGCAGCCGTGCATTCAGCCACTATGCCCCCAGCCTTTGGAACTCCCTTCCTCACTCCCTTCGCCTTGCCCCTTCTCTTCCTATTTTCAAGTCTCTGCTGAAGACCTTTCTTTTCGCCTGCGCCTTTGGTCCCTTCCTCCCCCTCTCCCTGGCTCAGCCCCAGGATCTGTTACTGTGAAGCACTCTGAGACGCCGTCCAGCATGGAGGGTGCTATATAAATCCAAGTTGTTGTTGTTGTAGTAGTCAACAAATAAATGCACCAAATATCACAATTCATCATTTATTGTGAATCTAGTTTCAGTGGATTTATTCAGTGGAAGCAGAAAATCCTAATTGAAACTGATTTAAATTCTGAATGATGGTTGCTTCAGGGTTTTCTAGAAATAATACCTGGTTCACCTGGCTTTGTTAAAGGCAAATCATGTCTGATAAACTTAGAATCATAGAATCGTACAGCACAAAAAGAGGCCATTCGATCCATCGAGTTTGTGCCGGCTCTTTGAAAAAGAGCTATGTAATGTCAATCCCACTCCCCAGCCCTTTCCCTTAATCCTTCATCCTTCTGAAATACCCATCCACCGTGTTTTTAGAAGTAGTTATCGAATCGGCCTCGACCACCCTTTCAGGCAATGTGTTCCAGATTCGAACAACTCGCTGCGTGAAAAAATATCTTCTCACCTCCCCTCTGCTTCTTTTAGATACTATTTTGAATCTGTGACCTTGAGTCACCGACACACCCACCAACGGAAACAGTTTTTCCCTTTCTAACCTATCAAATCCCCTCATGATTTCGAAGACCCCTATTAGGTCTCCTCGTAACCTAATTGAGTTCTTTGTTAAAATAACAGAGTGGATTGATGAAGGTAGTGCAGTTGATGTAGCGCATATGGACTTTCAGAAGGTGTTTGATAAAGTGCCACATAATAGACTAGTTAGCAAAATTGAAGCCCATGGGATAAAAGGTACAGTTGTCTGGGAGACAGAAAGCAGAGGGTAGTGGTGAATGATTGTTTTTCAGACTGGAGGGAAGTATACAGTGGTGTCCCCCGGGGTCGGTATCAGGTCCACTATGCTCTTTGATAATCACAAATGAATTGGACTTGGGTATAGAAAGCAAAATTTTAAAGTTTGCAGATGATACAAAACTTGGGAACATAGTAAACAGTGAGAAGGATAGCAGCAGACTGCAGGAGGACATAGACACACTGGTGAAATGGGCAGACACATGGCAGATGAAGTTTAATGCAGAGAAATGTGAGGTGATGCATTTTCGGAGAGGCAATATTCACTAAATGATACAGTTTTAAAGGGGGTTCAGGACCAGGCAGACCTGAGGGTTCACATACACAGGTCTTTGAAGGTGGCAGGACAGGTTGATAGAGCTATTAAAAACATTAATCCTTGGCTGTATAAATAGAGGCATAGAATATGAAAGCAAGGAAGTTCTGCTAAACCTTTATAAATCACTGGTTAGCCCTCAGCTGGAGTATTGTGTCCAATTCTGACTACCACACTTTAGGAAAGATATCAAGGTCTTGGAGAGAGTGCAGAGGAGTTTTACCAGAAAGCTACCAGGCATGAGGGACTTTAGTTATGTAGAGAGACGAGAAAATCTGTGATTGTTCTCCTTGGAGTAAAGAAGGTTAAGAGGAAATTTAATAGAGGTGTTCAAAATTATGAGGGGTTTTGATAGAGGAGGTAGGGGAAAATTGTTTCCACTGACAGGTGGGTCAGTAATTTGGGAACGTAGATTTAAGATAATTCACTAAAGAACCAAAGGGTAGATGAGAAATTTTTCACACAAAGCGTTGTTATGTTCTGGAATGCACTGTTTGAAAGGTTTGTGGAAATAGATTCAATAACTTAAGATTCAATAGTTTCAAAAGGGAATTGGTTAGGTACTTGAAGTGGAAACATTTGCAAGAACATAGGGAAAGAGCAGGGGAGTGGGACTGATTGTGTAGCTCTTCCAAAGATACGGTACAGACACGATGGGCCAAATGGTCTCCTGTGCTGTAATAGTCTATGATTCTATACAACATAGGGAGAATCACTAAACATCCAAAGGTGTTCTTAGCATTTATCGGCAAAGTAAACATCTCACAGAAAGTTCACTATATGCCAGGATTAATAGGCTTTGTTCTACTGAAAAGGTTGATTTTGCTTTCTAAAAGTCAAGTTTAGTAGCAGAATTATATAAAGTAACAAAAAGTAATTCCTTTTCCCCAGCATGATAATATTTTCCTAATTCTACTACTAAAGAAAGCACCTGAGAAGTGAGCTAAAACAATCTACACCCTGATCTTAAAATTCAGTGTGTCTCTTGTACACTATTTCTCTTTTTACTTGGTCGGCTAAATGTCTGGCACATACAGAAGTCCATTAGAATTCTTAAGTATTTTCAGTATCTTAAAAATTCTTGAGTATCCAAACCAGACTGAGAGTGCCACATAGGTATACCATCTAGATATACAATTTTCTCTGTGTTTGGAATGCACACACTCTTCCTGGAGGGACACATCCTGCTTACCCTATTCTGGAGAGTATTAGATGCAGGTTAGGAAGAACCAAGGCTTGAGAATCCAGAACGTGCATTGAGATATTGCTCGAGTTTAACCAGCTAAAATCTTGTAGCTTGAAAGCACTGTCTGGCAAACTTCTTGCTGCTGTTTCACACTATGTGTGGGGGTTTTAGCTTGCAAGATTAACAGAGGTTGAATCCCAGCCCCTCAGTGACAATAATTTACACCTCGATCATAAATTGAGTGCATCTCGTGTTTCTAGTCAAAGCATAAGTGATTTGATTAATTAACATACCGCCATGAGAGATAACCTTTTGGTAAGGTTCAATGGCCTTCATGTCAATCCTGTGCTCCTGCTCTCCAATGACAACTGTCCTCCACAGCCGATTATCTGTGCGTTCTTGCTCCGCGGTATATTCCGGTATGGGTTCCACTTCCTCTTTTGCAGTGTTGGTGGCAATAGGCGTCTCATCTAAAATGAGGGAATACCCCAGTCAGTAAATAAATGTCAGCAAGAGTATACAAGAACATTTAGCTATTAAAATGCACTTCACCCTAAGCACTTCACTGTTGTGCAAGGCATTATTCCATTATCAAATGGAAAGGGGAAAGGTGACAGAAAGAGATCAAAATAAAAGGTTTAATTTTTTCTAAAATTAAAACCATTGTTTTTCTATCTCCATCTCTGAGCCACCTAGTTGGGTTCATTTTGATGGAGACCAAGCAGGCTATTTGGAGTGTAGTTTTGTTGCTCCAAATACAATCTTTGTGTTAAATCTATATTAGTATAAGCATTAAGTCAAAACAATCTGTTCTTTGCTTCAATTGCTGGCAAATAGATGTATTCTGCAATAAAATCAAGGATTATTATGAATAGATGCATTCATCCAGACAGACTAAGATTCAATTCATTGAAATAACAATACATAGCATACTATAATCAACACAATGAACTTAAGAGTGCTTAAGTTCACCTGTTGTTTACACAATACTCTTATATTATTTTGTACAGTTATGCTTCTGTTGAAGTATTTAATCATAATTTATTAAACATGCCCTCTGTATCAACAACAAGGTATTATAATTCTGGCACAAAGTGTCATATACTCTGAGAATACTGGTTCTTCCTCCAACAAAAACACACGAAGGTCTTCAAGCGCGGCCTGAAGATAGGAAAGGGGCAAGGCAGAGTAATAGAGGAAGAGTGTTGCAGAGCTTTGGGGCGTAGTGGATCGCTGATAGTGGAATAGAGGGCACGAGGGACATGCAGAAGGCCGAGCCAGTCGAGCGGAGGCAGCGGGTTGTGGATTGGAGGGTAAGCAGGTCAGAGGTAGGGAGATGCCAGGGCATGAAGGGATTTGAAAACAAGTGTGAGGATCTGGAAATTGATTTGTTTGGTGATAGGGAGTCAGTGGAGCCTGGTGTGATGGGAGTACGGAGTTTAGTACGGGTGAGTATGCAGATGGCACAGTTTTGCATTAGCTGGTTTCAAATTTGCTGTTTCAAAGGAGCGAGTTAACTTGTGGAGTTTCAACACCTTTGGATGTCCTCCTGACATGAAAAATGCTACATAAATGCAATTTGTTGTTGTTAAAATACTGGAGAAATGCTTTTTTGATATGTGTCAAAAAGATATGAGGAAGATCAGCCAATCTGCATCCAATATTTCACTGACAGTTTGAGAAAGCTGAAATCTGAAAGTTGGGGAATTCTTAAATTACTATTGCAGAAAATGCTATTATAGTTAACACTGTGTTACAGATTGTGAAGCAAGGTTTATAAAATGGATGTATTGTACTACATTTTGGGGTTGGGGAGAGGTCAACTTGAAGCAATGAGCTAAGAATTTAGGGAAGATTGTGAAATCAATGCTGTTGGCCAATACTAAGCAAATCTAGGTTACAAGTATTAAAATAAACAGGTCAAGTTAAATTCATAATAAACAAAAATGTTTTAAGTAATTTATGGAAATGGAAAGAAAATGATTGGTCATTAAACTAAAAAAACTCTGAAACATTTATCATGGATGGAAGAAAAACTGAAAGAACATTAGGGGAGAATTAAAAGGGATTGTTTGTAGCAAGCAGAGCATTGAAGAAGATGGGGGAGGGATTGTTCATGGATGAAAGACATTGCTAAAGTGCGAGAGCTACTGATAAAAATAGTTTTTTTTAATACACACTTTTTTTGAAACACACAAATAAATATTGGTGGCACTCCAAAGTAGATAAATAAAGCAAATAACATCCAAGATAATGTGAAATACAATGGCTGGCAGTGAAACAATCATTCTGAAACACTTTTTATATAAGAGTAATGAGGCACAAAAGTGGATGGAATCCACGCAATAGCACTAAATCAATTAGAGTAGAATTTCTAGGCAGGCTGCAATGTTGCAACCTTAATCACTGCTTCTGATCTCCTGGTCTGCATTATTCACTTCTATTATAATTTACAACTTTACTTTATTTCCCACTCTACCTATGAGGTCAGAAGAAAGTTTAGGAGGAGTTTAAAATAGTTTCTCCCCACATAGAGGGCTATTAAAACATGAAATGTTTTGCCATGAGTATTGAAGTTAAGACCATTCTAATGTTTAAAAAGTAATTGCTTAAACACAAAGAAAAGAACAATAGGATCCAGGGTAAGGTGGGGAATGAAGTGTTAAACTCAATTTAAGCAGCAAGCACCAGCATAGGCTGAATAGGCCAAATAAACTCCTTCAGTAATTTCTAAAACTTTGTTTTAAGTTTCTCTTCCTGTTTTAAAAAAATTTAAACTTATACTTTCCTGTTTACTTGCATCTGCAATGACATATTTTTCTAATTCCATTGTTATTTATTGTACTTATTTCATTAATACTTACTGTATTGGTCAGTGGAATAAAACCAGTAAGGTCTGTACTGACCACTCCTGCAAAATGTAACAGCTTTCACTTATACATAATTTTTTAAGTAAAATAATGACTCAAAAAGTGCTTAAAAACAACCGATAAATATGGTTAGGTGGTGTCAACCTGGCTCAATTGTCAGCAAGCTTGTGAGTTCAAACTCCAAGTAGGGACTTTGAACTCATATGTTCTAGGGTGAGACTCTAACAGAGGGTGCGGGTGTGCTGCAATAATTGACCATGCAAAAAGGAAGTTCTGTCAATTTGTCTTTTAGTGTGGGAACTGACTGGCGCATGGTGAGCAAGACAGCTGGCGGCATGAGCAGCGAACTCAGCTTTCATTATGTGTGTTGGAATTTTCTAGAATTCCAAGCACTGCATTATAATGGGGCTCCAATGTGTTTGCCCAAGTTTGAAACTGCTTTAAATTTCTCATGAAATAAAGTTGCAAGATCCATAAAGGGCTTAATATTTTAAGCTCTACAATTTCCACTGTAAAAATCAGATTTGTACTGAAGGTATCATTTTTCTGGTTTTAGTGAAATACAGCTTCCAGTCAAATGCAGCAGTCAGTGTGTAATGGTTTTGCCACCTGCTGGGTAGTCTTCAATACTATTTCTTATAATTCAGCTGCCTAAATAGCAGTTAAGGATTCCACATTTCATTTCTGAATCAGCTGTCACTGAATATTTTGTTGCGCAAACTGGAAGGTTCAATCAGCATCAAGCATCAGCTGTGGGTTACAATGACATTACAGTATACTAACCAAACTAGCATTGATTCATGATTCATAGAGTAAATAAAAATAACCTCCTACATTTTGTATGTTCTCATATTGAAGGGTGTAGTAATCGCTTCAAACTTTTTGAAAATAATAATTTGGTCATTCAATCCTCAACTGTTGGTGGGACACTGCTGTGCGCAATTGGCTGCCGTGTTTTGCCCATAAAATATGCAGTCAATTCACTTTACAGGATATTCTGTGAAGCGCTTTGACACCTCTCGACGAAGTGATAAGGTGCTATATCAAATGCAAAGATTACTAAGACAACAGCTTTGTTCAAAAATTAGGTACAGGTATGGCCCAGGAGCAACGGCAAAGTAGCAATTTTTAAACAATGATTGCATTCACTCTTATTGTAAGCAAAGACATAAAAGATCTGCTTGACTGAACAATAGTCTGAGTAACAGAATTTTATACCATTGACTGGAACATGTCAACACATCAGTACCAGTTTGAGAAAAACAGTAATTTCTGGTTCATGAGAGTTGAATGCTGCCATTAAATGTCACTGCTTCTAGTAAGGTTGTGTATCACAATTACTCCACTTTACAATATATCCTGTGAAGTGCTTTGGGACGTTCTCCTGATGTGTAAGGTGCTATATAAAATACAAGGATTATTATTATTATCGTTATTAAGGTTCTACTTCTTACCAACTCCATAAATCTGCCTAAAGAAGAACACATATCTGTTGCTCAATGTGAATTCCCTGATAATAGTTTCTTGGACAAGACCAGAATACTACTTCAGGACCAAAACACACATGATGGACAACATCTAATTTTGTGTTGTTTCCTACAACATGGCCACAAAGTCCACAGCAGTGAGCATGGAGCAGAATATCCTCCAATGAGAAAAAAATTAGATTAATTGGTATGAACAGCTCAACATACAGCGCTTTCTTACTCAGGGGAGTGCCAGTGTTATTGGCAGCTATAATATTATGTCCGTACAAACTGTTAAAATAGTCTACACTGCTCCATTGGATTCCATTATGTACAGCACTGAGTGCAAAAGTGAACATAAACTTTTTTCGGTGCAGATCAGTATCTCTGGACTTACCGGTTGCTTTGAATTACGCATGCGCCATGTAGATTATTGATTAAATCAGATTTTATATGACTTGTATAGTTTGCCAGCTATTCGGACTTTGTGTAATTCGCATTAAATGTTATGGTCCTGACTGATATGATCCGACTGATCTTCACCCTTGTCTTCAAATCCCTCCACTTCTCTGCACCCCCCTACCTCTCTGACCTCCACTCTCCTCAAAACAGTGCCCGTTGCCTTCGTTCCTCTGGGTCTGGCCTCCTCCTTGTCCCCCGAGTCCTCTGCTCCACCCGTGCCTTCAGCCACTACACCCCGAGGCTCTGGAACTCCCTTCCTCTCTCCCTTCGCCTCGACCCCTTTCTTCCTATTTTCAGGTCTCTGCTGAACACCTTTCTTTTCGACCATGCTTTTGGTCACCTTCCTCCCCTCCCCCTGGCTCGATTACTGTGAAGTGCTCTGAGATGCCATCCAGGGTGGAGGGCGCTATACAAATCCAAGTTGTTGTTGTTGTTGATCCATGTGAGTTTTACTGTATAATCCAAAAACTGGAACAGGTTTCCAGGAAGGGTGGTTAAGGCTAGAACCCTGGACTTATTTAAAAAGACAGTTGGGGGTTGTTCTCCCTCCCTTCATTCCCCTCCATCCATTCAGCAGGTTCTGACCTGCTCCATGTCTCCACCCAACCGGTCCTACCATCAGCGGTCGGACCTTCAACCTCCATCCTTTGGAACTCCATCCCACAATCCCTA